CTCCCTTTGCCTTAGATTTAAGAATTTAACTAGTTACTAAAAACTATCAGTGAACAAAATGGCAAAATTGAAATGTTATAATTCTTCTTTTCACATTCAGTAACTTCTTAGTATTCTGTGAAAAAAGTTTCAAAAAGGGTAGAAGAAAGTTTAGGGAATACTGAAAGTCTAATTCATTGTCATTCTGTTCAATGATGAAGTCAATTAGAATATAATTCAATACAAAAAAAAAGCACTGAAATTTGCAGTAGAAAATTTTCAAATAACATGTTTCATAAAAGCATATTTTTTGATGGAACATTGTTTTTCTTCATAAAATAAAATAAATTCTTTCAACCACTGAATATGCAAGCCTGGACATCCAGGAGAGCAGACACATCCTACAGATTAACTTGACATCACTTGGAAGAAATAGATCTTCTGAAATAAGATACATATGCAAAACGCAGAATATGCTATAGCTTATCATGAATGCGTGAATATTACATTTTTTTGAAGAAGAGAGTGGAAGTTAGTCAACCCTGAACAGTTGTGAAAGAAACATTTTTGTGCAGGTTGATCTTAAAGAAAACAAAAGAAAAAACAGTTGTTATCCACTGAGGGATTTAGGACATTTGTAGATGTGCTGGGGGTTATTACAGGCAGAAGGTAGATTAGTCATTTATAGTATACAATAATTTAATAGAGAAGATGGTGGACATGAAATTTGGAAGTTCAGAAGAGAGCCATAGGCAAATTATAGCAAAAACAAATATGTAATTCTTTTTTTTGCCTGATACTGTGGGTAGAGGTTTCCCCAAAGCGGCAAAAAGGTAGTGCACTCCCCAAACTCAAGGAATTTTGGCAGTGTTTTGTCAGAAACATTCCTTCTAGTCTTGATCATCCATTCAAATGCTGTATTTGGAAAAGGGTGTCTTTGGAAAAGTGTTCTCAAAGGCAACATAAATGATAATCTGCTTTTTTCCAAATATACCACTTTTTAGAAAAGTATACACTCAAAAAAAATCCAAAGGTTATTGGATTTTTTATTTTAGCCCTTAAGCAAATCAGTTCTCAACATTCAAATTGCAGTTGGCTTTTCCTTTGGTCTGATATGTGTTAGAGCATATCTGTAACTGCAGCACGGCAGCTGTGGGCATTAGCAATGCGCACTTCTCGTGACCTTCTGTAATTCTCTGATAGATTTGAGAGAAATTTTATGAATGCGTAGATATGTTACAGGGTATTTTTCTCAGATCAAAGATGAATAGCTGTAATTTGAATTATCTGGCTACATTCTTCAGCTGAAATGCAATTTACTTCAAGATATATTCTTAATTATAATGAAGATTCTTGCCTTGCCAGCTATTTTTGATATTGATTTTTATGCTGGGACTAGGTATGTGATACAATAACAGGCTTAGAAGGTGGCCTGGGAGCTACGTGTACAAGATTATTGATACTGTCTCATATTTTTTCTGAGGAAGCATTAAAATCATGGGTAATTTTACCTTGGTAAAAAGTGATGTAGTTTCTTGCTCTGTAAGAAGTGAGAAAATGAAGTTTTATGCTTATTTCATTGGAAAAAAATCATTTTTGATTCACATTGCCTGTATTGTGTCAAAATATCTTCCTCTGTACAATGTATACTAAATATGATTTTCAGTGAAAACTAAGATGATATTTCTGCAATAGATTCTGGATATTTCTGCAATAGATTCTGTATGGGAAAGAAAGCTTGCATTAAAGTAAAGCCATGTTTTAGCCTAAAAAGGGTCATTTTTAAAACAGAATACATCCAATCAAACTGATTTAACATGACCCAAATTGATTCCTATTAAAATATATGCTAATGTGCCTCCTATTCAGAGGAGAGTTGGCCATGAGGTCAGACTGGGTTACTGAGGTCCTTGTGCAGCCAAGTCTTGAAAACAAACAAGGATGAAGCCTCTCTGGAAAACCTTTTCTGCTGCACAACTGTCTTCATGATGAATTCTTTTCCCCTCAAAGGCAGCATGAACCTCTCTTGTTTCAACTTGGGCTTTTTTGCTGCTTGTCCTCTCACCGTGCACCTCTGTGGAAATACTGGCTTGGTAGCCTCCTGGTTGGTATTGGAAGGTTTCCTCCCAAGCTTTCTCTTCAACAAGCCCTAATTCCTCAGCCTTTCCTTATGGGGCAAATTGCCCATGTTCACCTTGGGATCTACCAAGACCTCCAGGTCCTCTTCAGCAGAACTGCTCCCTAGCCTGTATCATTGCAATGTGCAGAACATCGTTTGTCCTTGCTGAACTTTATCAGATTCTTGTGGACTAATTCAACCTTTTTAGGTCCTTCTGAGTAGCAGTCCTGTTTTGGAGCATATCATCTTGTCTTCCCAGTTTGGCATAAGCTTAAAAGCAGATGAACAAGCACAAGTTACCAACATCCAGGACCCTTGCAGGAGCAAATTCTCTCAGCAAACTTGGGTTCAGCCAGTGTGGTCTCACAGACCTGTATGAGCCTAGGTCTTTTAAATAATCCCTGATTATAACATATATAATCCTTAATTCACCTTTCTGGTAAAGACTATAGTAAAGAGGACACTGAATACCTTAGATTTGTGGGTGTTAGTTGTCACCAAATCACCTGCCCCATTCAGCAATATCCTTACATTTGAACAGAAACAGTAGTACCATAAAATTACTATTTTGTTTTTCTTGGAAGATAATAATAAATTTTATGAAAAGAGATGGTAGCAGCAGTCAGAGGTTTTACTTTTAGGTGACACTGAAATATTCCACAAGCAAAACATACTACTCAAACTTTGAAACTGAACTGAGACATAGCGTTGTTTTTATCCTTTGCTTTATTAATGAGAATTCATAATAAAATAGTTTTAGAGAAGAAATATTAAGGAATTTTCCTCATTATTTAGATAAAAACTGAAGTATCTGGCTTTTGTCAAGGCACTGACTAATCTGTA